TTAGCAAAATAGTAACAATAGAATTTCTACCGTGCCAGCACAGGATAGCTGGAAAAGCTAGACTAAGATTAAAACTGCATTGCGGAACTGAGTGCAGTTCACCACCTGTAATCCAAGTGGCATGGAGCTTGAGGCAAGAGTCTGGCAACTTTAAGACCAGACTGGGCAATGGAGGGAGGGATAGAGGGAGGAAAGAAGGAAGGGAGGGAGGAAGGAAGGAAGAAAAAAAGACACCACACACACAAAAAGGCTTGGGGGTGTAGCCAAAGCTCCCCTGCTTCAATCCCCAGCATCCTCCCACCCGACCCCATGCCACGCCCCAAAGGAAATATTTCCCAGAATGCCCTTCTCTGTAGGTGAGAATACTTTGCCCACACTCTGGACCCTGAACCGCAAAACTGAAACAGAAACCCAGCTCTCGGGAGTCCTATGCAGGGAAAAACATGTGCCCATTGAGACGGGAGAGCGGTCTGGCCTACCCCTGCTGGTCCCTGCTCTGTGGTCTTCTGACGTGTGGCGGTGTTAGCTACACAGAGCCCTACCTACCTTAACTTCTCACCGCTGAGACAAGAATACCTAAAACTGTCAACATAAAGGAGGAAAAGTATGTTTTGACTTACGGTTTTAGAGGTTTCAGAACGACTGCCACTTTGGGCCTCGGGCAAGGCAGCACAACATGGCGGCAGCATAAGGCGGAGACAAGCCGCGTGCCTCCAAGCAGGAAAAAGAGAGCAGGACAGGAAGGGGCGGGTCCTGATGGCTGGCAAGGACCCGCCCCCCCCAGTGACCTCATTTCCTTCCACTAGGCCCTGCCTCTTAAAGGTTCCACCACTAGCATCAGGGGGTGGGGACCAACCTTTAATATGTGAGACTGGAAGACCTGAAAGATTGGAAGTATAGACTCTTCTCTGGGTCAGCTACAGCAATTGCAGTATGCAGGGGAAAAGGAAAGTGCAGGGCATCTTGTTTCAAAAACAGAAAAAAAAAAAAAAATGCTGTTACAGGTAACCAAATACAAAACTTCTCTTTCCTCCTGGGGTCTTTCTTTCCACTGAGCTTAGTGTTTATTTCCTATTTAATGTTCTAAATAAAGGAAAATTTAAACTGGTATCATAAAGTTTCCTGTTCATCTTTACAATATGCAAATGCAGATATGAGATCATTCAAATTGCATGTGAAATTAGAGGATACGTATTTCAAAGCTTGAACATGAATGTGTATTTCATTCTTATGAGAGCCGTGAAACCCTACATAAAATAAAATTAAGTTTCTCTCTCTCTCTCTCTCTCTCTCCTCTGTAGTTATAGATGGACAGCATATCTTTATTTTATTTCGATTGTCGATAGACCTTTATTTATTTTTACACAGCGCTGAAAATCAAACCCAGAGCCTCATACATGCTGCGAAAGCACTCTGCCACTGAGCCATAGCCATAGCCCAAGTTTCTCTTTGTGCCAACACTCATTTCCTTTGGCTAATTTATAAGTAAGAGAAATAAAGTATGGGTGGTCGTGTCTTTCCCTCTCCTTCCTTGACATGCCATCATTTTCAGTGTAAAAGCTACACAGAAGTAACTTGCTGTTTTATAGTGTTTCCTTGCTATAATAAAGTACCTGAAGCTAAGTAACTTACAAAGAAAAGAGATTTAGTTAGCTCACAGTTTTGGAGGCCAAAAGTACAAACAGCATGGTGTCTGCTCTAGTAAGGGATTCATGACAGTGGGCATCATGGTAGGAGCAGGTAAGAGAGGACAGATCACACAGCGAGACAGGAAGCCAGAGGCTTGGGAGGGGCCAGCCTCTTGCTCTTTTATAACAACCCTCTTGGAAGAAATAATTGGGTTCCCAGGAGAACAACATTAATTCCTTTTGAAAAGGGTGATATTCCCAATGACCTAGCACCTTCCAATAGGCTCCACCTCTTCACACTGGGGGACCAAGGTTCTAGTACATGAACCCTTGGGGTGTACACTCTAACCATAACCAAACCATAGCACTTGCATACAAAAGGATGAGGGGGTTCCCTGGTTGTTATGTTTCTTCTTGGATTGCCTTCTTTCTGACAAGTTGGAAGCGAGTTCTTAATTCCAATGGAGAGTATGACCTCTCAGGATTCTGGGAGACCCTGATAACTCACTGTGGACATAAGATGCTTCCCCATGTACTAACTTTGAGTCTCACTCAACCCCCATGCATTGTGGACCCAGTGGAATTCTATATTGGTTCAGCATCTTGAAGGTCCTATGGAAGAGAGGTGGCAAGGAACACAGGGGACATTTGCTCTGATGCCCCCAATTCCCCTTTCAGATCTTTATGTCCCAATCTCACAATTGCCTAAGGTCTTGACTCTGTAACAAATCCCTGTTTCATAATATTCATAGCAGTTCCCCTTTCCAGGCTGAACCCTGTCTGATAAGAGTCAGAGAGGAGAGAGGGTTTAAATCAATGTGGCAACATGTTAACAACTGGCAAATCTGGGTGAAGCATACACAGGCATCTATTGAACTATTCTTATGACCTCTCTGTAGAACTCACTTTTTCTCAATGAGATTGAAAAAAAAAATTCAAAAGTTTGAGGAATGAATCCGTGAGTGAATGAATGTCATTGTTAACTAAACAAGCTGCTGCCATCCTTCAGTTTTAGATCTTTATTGAGTTGACCAAATGCCCCTCCTTTACATAGCTCAGACTCATTTTCTATTCATTCTAAGACTGGGAAAGTCCAGCTCCATTTCACTGAATTTTGCACCCAAATCTCTCCCTGTTAGGGGGGGAAAAAGTTTTGTATGTTCGTGCTGTTGCTTTGATGAAAGAGGCTATCCTGCCCACCCCCAAAAGAATTGAAGGTCTGATGTTGGATATCATAGAACCTTTATTATTTTTCCTCTAAATTCTTAGAAGCGTACATAACGCCCGTGCTCTGGTTATGACACCATTTATAGACATTTAAAATGTATCTTCATTTATAAATATTTTACATTTGGTCCATAGAACAGATAATTTTACTAAATAATACTGTAATTTTTTTAAAACAGGCTCTGTATATACTTTGAATATGTATATATTACATATATTTTTTATATAGAGATAGATTTACTTGGTGTTCTGAGAATAAATCCTTATTGCAAAAAAGAAAAGCATATATGATAATACAATATCTTTTTTCCCCTCCCTGGGCAAATACTAAAAAAAAAAGAAAAAAGGAAAAAAGTTACACATATTCACAGTTCTCACAGTATATGTACGACACTTACACTATTGTGCTCTATAAGGTAAGTTTGGATGGAAATCAGTTAGGGGATTTCTTGCCAAACATCTCAGTTAGAATTGCTTACAAACATTAAATATACTTAGAAAGACTTGATCTCGGTTTCACATTGAAGAACAAAGAGAAAGTTAGAAGGCTCCTTGCTCTTATTCTAAAGGAACTCACACACGGATGGGGATGGGATGGGACCAGGAGACACAGTGCAGGGTCCTTTCATTCTAAACCTAGGACTTAATACATATGCAGCTTGAACATGGCTTTGCCACTCGGCATCGGGGATGCCTTAGCAATGAGACTATGTTTTTTTACAGGCAACCTCGGGAGAAGGTTGTAGATTTCCTACACAATATCACATGGGACCCTATGTGCCACACGTGAGAATGAGTGTGCATGGGTGTGCATTTCTAGGTGCATTACATATTATTTATTCTCTACGATAATGTGCTTAATACTCTGAGGGTAATACCTTATTGCAAGAACTGGTATGCTGGTCACTTTCAGCTGAGAATGACAAGAGATTAAAAAAAAAAAAAACCCCACAGTCACAGTTATTTATCATAGTTATTAAGGATTAGTCATAATAAAACACAGTTTGTGAGCTAACGAGCTAAGGAGCTACGGGGGGCACGACGTACAGCTTTGCTACATGGGAACCCATCTTCCTGGCCAATGCAAAAGGTACTGAGCTGCTGGAACTTTCGAGACACTGTCTTCACCCGCTTCGTTGCTGCCAGCACCATGGAGCCCGATTCCAGAGAGGAATAAATAACACTTCCCCAATGAAGCACTTTGAAATCTCCGGAAGCACATCGTCTGGGCATCTGGGGGTGGAGTAGGGGGTAGAGTCTCTGGATTCATACTGGTTCCTGGGTTGGTTCATGGGTTGGGTAGATTTGAGTGGCAGTGAGGAGACCCCTGCAGTGAGAAGATTCAAGGAAAGGGGGGGGGGGGGGGGGGGGGGTGGCAGCTTGGAATGGGGCAGTGAGAGTGAGAGTTTAAGAGGGAAACAGAAGGATAATTGGAATGGTCTGGACCTTCCGACACACACCGCCCACCTTGATTTCAACTCTGCAGTGGTTTTGTGCTCTGAAAAAACTGGGCTGCTTGCGACAAACCAGAGATCCCAATTGGGGAATGTCCCCCAGGGGGCCCTGAGGTTCCTTAGGAATGGCGATCAAAAGAAATGAATTGTGCTTGTGGCATTTTAAGCCCTTCTGGGCCTAGATGGTCTCCAGTCAGAAGGGCCCCGGGCTGGCAAGGATGGGGATAGGGACACGGAGCTGCAGAGGTGTCCATTCCCTGGGGGAAACAAAGGATGCTATGCGTGCTGCTTGTGAAACAGCTCTGGGAACACACACAGACTGAGGTCTTTGGGGGTTGTTGTTTTGTCCAGCTGCCTCGGGAAGGAGAAAATTAAAAAAAAAAAAAAAAAGTCAGAGCTCCCTGCGGGCTCCCTGCCACCTCGAGTAAACTGTCCCTGGCAGTCCCCACTGTATACAAAACGCCCTTGTCCTTTGTCCAGAGCAGTGTCTGGCGGATCCGACCTTCCTGCAAAGTCCAAGATAACAGTCACAGGGTTCGGCAAGAAAACAGTCAAGAATACGACTAAAAGCCAGGAGTGTGTGTGTGTGTGTGTGTGTGTGTGTGTGTGGCCTGGCCGGGTCACAGGGTCACACTCGCTGGCGGGATAAAAATGAGCTACCACGGCAGTTACGAATGTCAACAGACCGCTTGATGCTTATGGGGTCCCCCCCCAGGAGAAAGATCACCAGCCCGCCGGATGCTGGAAGCCACTGGGTTACATGGCCCCCGCCCCCGGCAGGGCCCCCCCAGGGGTCTGACTGCCCCCCCACCTCCCCTCTCTTTGTGTGGTGTTGGAATCTGGACTCGCCACTTGAGGTAGGTGGAGATAGAAGGTTATCTTCAGTCATCAAGTGGTGGTCGCCTTCAACCAGGTTGGGGGGGGTGACAGTGTTGGGTCGGCGAGCGGCCCCACGCCCCTAGATGTAGGCCTCTTTGGTGGCTGAGCTGCTGGCCTGGGGCTGCTCCGGACCGTTCTCCGGGCGGACAATGTCTTCGCTGGGCTGGATCATCACCTGGATGCGCTGTGGGGACCAGTGAGGGAGGTATGAGGCTGGGTGGTAGGGGATGGGTTGCTCCCTTCTTCCCCATCCACCCTCACTCATCCTTCAGCCACACCGTTCTTTACATAAACCAGGCATGCTCCTGCCTCAGGGCCTTTGCACACACTCTCCCTCTACCAGGCACATTCTTCCTTCCAGATAGTTTCACAGCTTGCCGTCTATCTCCTTAGATCTGAGCTCAAGTGTCTTATCTTCTCAGTGAGGTCTTGTCCTGCACTACCTAACCCCCCACTTACTTTATTTTTTCTCCATGGTACTTACTCCCATCTTATTTCTACTTATTTTATTGATTGTTCATCTTTCCTCTGCTAGACTGGAAGCTCCATGAGGGCAGAGCTTCTGTTTTTTTCGCTCATGGCAGTGTCCCCAGCACTGACAGCAGTGTCTACCACATTGCAGATTTGCTGAGTGGATGAATCCCTGGCTACCTTTGCTACACACATCCTCTGCGACTCTGCCCTGTCAGCTTTGACTCCCTGACCCTCTGACTTTTCCACCGCCGGGCCTTTGCATGGGCTGCGTTCTCTGATGCCCTCCCTCTGCTTCTCTGCCACTTCAAGACCCAACTGACCTTTGGGGCTCTGCAGCGGATGATGGAAAACAAAAGCTTTGGACTTGGAGTCACAAGAAAGGGCTGCATGCCCCGGTGCTGTTAATAACTTACTGCAAAGGCTGGGTAAGCAGTTTCCCAGGTCGGGGCCTCAGTTTCTCCATCTGTGAAAGGGGGAGGCTGGCCCAGCAGCCCAGGGTCTGGACGCAACTACCCACCACTCATCTTCCCCAAGCCTTCGGCCTTGGAGCTCCCCCTTCTGGCTGTAATTGGCAAATACATCTTCAAGGGGGAACCTCTTGACCCTGGCCTTGCAGGGGACGCCCTGCCCTCTACAGTCTGCTCGTCCCCCTTCCTTGGTGGAGTGATCTCTGCCTACATGTATCCCACCAGTGTCTCTTTCCCCTGTGCACCTCCAGCAGTGCCTTGCTGCATGCAGGAATTCAATGCCATTCAACAAAGACCACCCAGCAGGGACCAGGTTGCACTTCGCTCATTCGAAAATCTGAAATCGGAAATGCTCCCAAACCTGAAGCTTTTGGAGCATTGATGTGACACAACAAGAAGAAAATGCCACACTTGAATTCATGTGACAGCTCAAAGTCAAAGCAGAGGTGCACTAAAAATATTGTACAAAATCACCTTCAGGTTCTGTCCGTGAATACGTACATAGGAAACATATATGAATTTCACATTTAGACTTGGGTCCCAACACCAAGATATCTCATTATATATATGCAGATGTCCCAACATCCGATCCCCCCCACCCCAAATCTCTAAAATGCAAAACACTTCTATTCCCAAGCATTTTGGATAAGGGATCCTCAACTGGTATATAATGATGGGGCGATGTACCTTTCCATGAGAGTCAGACCACGTTTCCTATATTTATCAATCCCATGAATGAGATCTAGAGAAACACCCCAATAAACCTGATCCCACCCTTCGTCTGCTCCAAACCCCTGCAGGCCCCTCATAACCCTCAGGATGAAGTCTAAAGTTCTTGTCCTGATTTTCAAAACCCTTCATGATCTGACCTGGCTTTCATACATCTCCAATCTCATCTCTTACTGCTCCCCTCTACCCCTCCTCATTCTTTCCTCCTGCTACACCGATGTCCCTTCAGTTCACCAAATGCAGTTTATACCCCTGGACCTTTGCACATGCCTCCTATCTTCTCCTCCCTCCCCTTCCCCTTCTAGAAACATTCTTTCTGCTTCTATCACAAAGTTTAGCTTATCTTCACGCCTTCCCTCTTCCAGGAAGGCTTCTCTAATCCTGCTCAACCTAGGAAGGGCTAAGACGGGGTTACTTGCTCCCATCTCCTCCCCATTTCATTCCCCAACGATGCCCCTCTAACACTCGTATGTCACTGGCTGTTGACTTCCCTGGGCGCCCCAGCTAGACCTTGTGTTCCACAAGGCCTGGGACAGTGGGAGTGTCCAGCACAGTGGGAGAAGAGGACTAGCAATGGATTCCAAGTGTAGGAAAGCACTTGCCTGCTTCAGGGAGCCCTTTAAGGTGAGGAACATGTAGGCCATGTACCCGGGGATGAGGACCATGGAAGACAGAGCCATGAGCCAGCCCACGCCCTGGCCCCACTTGGGGAAAACGTAGCTTCCCATGGTGAGAGGAGTCATCTGCACAGCGCTGAAAATGAACACCCCCTGCGGAGGGTGGAGGAGAGGGAGCAGTCAGTCACCCGGACCAAACAACGAAGGTCTCCGTAGACACTCCACCCTCCTCCCAAGGCTGACCCTTACAAAGGCCCAGCATCCCGGGAGTCTTGTACCCAAAGCCACTGCTGGCACATAAGATTCCTCTGTGCATAATAGAAAATGCACCTCTCTGGGGAGGCCAGCAGGAAGCCATCTCCTCTGACAAGACCCATTAGAAAGGGGGTTCCCTCCCTCCAGAGCAAGGGTTAGGTGTCATCTCCCCGCAGGCCACAGGTTGGGTGCCCTTGTGCAGGACACATGGGCACAGTGGCCCAGCCTCCCCTTCAAGGACCTGTGGTGGCTTCTTTCAGGCCACCTGGATGTCACCTCCTCCTTGTGGGAGGGAATGAGAGTCACTGAGGGCAACAGGCTTCCTGGTGCCTAAAGCTCGGGCTTCTGGGTCAGGCTGAGCTGCTTCCAACCTCAGCACTAACTTGCCGAGTGAGGCTGGCTGGGTGAGCCCCGGTTCCCTCCGTGGTGGAGTGAGATAATAATGCCTGTTCCACGGAGGACGTGAACGGGATGTCACATGAGCAGGTCCCACAGCAGGTGCTCAACAAATGGTAGGGAGAAGTATTATTAAGGGATAGGGATCCCGGGGTCCCTTCCTCCTGTCTTTGCCTCCAGAAGTTTCTCTGTGGAGCCGAGTAGTCGCCAGACCCAGGCCAGCCTCATCCTGATGGGCTGGTCAAGCCTTGTCCTTACCGCCACAATGATGGGGGTGAAGAAAGACCAGCAGAGTTTCCACCAGATGCAGGGTCTGGAGCCGACCATCTCTTGGATATTGTCATAGAATCGGTTGACACCTGTGATATCCAGAGCAAGGGCAGGAGGGGGTGGGTGAGCTGTCGGGACCACAGGTTCAAAGCCCAACTCCACTACTTTCTTGCATTGTGACCAGAAGCCAATCACCTAACTTCTCTGAGCTTTAGTTTCCTTGTCTGGAACATGGAACTGACGCTATTGTTATTGAAACATTTTTTCCACAGCCAAATCCCTACAGCAAGTAAGAAAGCAAGATACCTGAACGGTGAAGCTTTATACTAAGAAAAGGATACTTAGAAAATGTGTCTTCCAGGGGTTGGGGATAGAGCTCAGTTGGTAGAGTGCTTGACTTGCATGCACAAGGCCTTGGATTCAATCCCCAGCACCACCAAAAAGAAAGAAAGAAAATGTGTTTTCCAGCCAGGCACAGTGGCACAAGCCTGTTATCTCAGTGGTTTGGGAGGATGAGGCAGGATGACTGAAAATTTGAGGCCAGCCTTAACAACTTTGTGAGGCCCTTTCTAAATAAAATATAAAAAGGGCTCAAGGGTTAAGCACCCCTGGGTGCAATCCCTGGTACCAAAAAAATAAAGAAGGAAAGAAAATGTATCTTCTCTACTCCTAATGCCCCTCTTCTCACCTGACATCCCTCCCAGCCATTTCTTCCACGGCTTTACTAAAAGGATTAATGTAGCTTGTGTTACAAATGAATTTATTTGGCTGTTCTTTTCAAATCTACTAAACATGGGGGCCTCCTGTGTTAATGGTTGTGAAGACTAAATAAATTACTGTGGGAAAAGGGATTTGGTGTTCAAACTGTATTGTTGAGAAATGATTGAAAAAAGGAATGAATGAATGAATGAATGAATGAATGAGAGAAGAGGGATGGTGCTCACCGTAAAACCAGGAAATGGAGACACATTCAAAGAACACGAGGAACAGCAGGCTCATGCCACTGGCAGAGTAGTAATCGAAAAGTTTGAAGACATAAATACCCCCCTGCAAGAGGAAAAGAGGGTGAATGCAGATCCGCTTTCCCCCCAGCACCCTGGACACTCAGCTTCAGAGCCTGAAGAGGCTGGGATTAGGCTACACTGCAGCAAGAAAGCTCTAGGGTGGATTAGAGCAAGGACTAAGGGCCCTGTAAGCATGACAGGATGAGAATGTTCACTTTATGGGGATTGTCCAGGTGGTAGAGGGAGACACCCTATTTCTGGTAGGGCTAGAGGGCAGAATGAGGGACTTGGTGACCAGAGATATCTTTCCATAGAGAAAATCAATCATGCCTCTTCCCTGCTTAAAACCTTCTCTGGCTTAAAGAAGATAATGCTATAACATAAATAACCAGTGAGATATCAATTCAAATCAAATTGAATCCAAATGCCCCCAGGGTCTGGCATGGTCTAGTTTTGTACCCCATCTGCTGCCCTCACTCCCTCTGGGTCCACTATGCAGACTTTCTTCCTCTCCATGAAGGTTTCCAAGCTCATTCTCACCTCTTGGCCTTTACACATGCTTTGCTTTCTTCCCCCGGATCCTCCTCTGACTGGCTCTTCCTCACTATTTAAATACCTGATCAACCTCTCCTGATCACCTTGTCCCAAGTAGAGTCCCTCTCAGGCCTGACGGTCATTCTCTATCCTGTTATCCTCATTTTTTTTTTTTTTGGAATGCAGGAATGGGGAAACAATGACTCTGGATCAGAACTGTATTTAGAGCCAGGGGTCGTTTGTGGATCACAAATGAGTCCCAGAAGCTGAGCTTATGGTTTTAGAGCATTTATATTTATTGTACAATTCACTTCTTATGTGTATATCTCCCAACTAAACTGGGAGGGCCTGGAATACAAAGCACACTCCTCATGAATATCAATACAAAAACAAAAGTGTCAATGAAAGGAGACTTTGGGCAGTGTCAACCTCAAAGGTCTAACTCCAACTTGATTGGCTCATTGATGAGGGCCTTTTGCATGTCAGCTCCAGGAAACAGTTGCTGGTGCCCAGGACAAGTTAGGTGCTGCACTCTGTGGCTTTTTCCTATACTTTCTGGCTCCATGCCTGTGTCTGTCACCAGCCCGAGGCCCTGTCTAACTCCTTGCTCAGCACAGTTGGAGCACAGTGCAGAGATAGAAGGTGGGAACTGACTGGGCTGGTGATGGAGGCCCTGGGGCAGCTCTGGGGTGCATCAGGTGAACCCACTGAACTCACCTGGGTGATGTTAGAGAGACCGATCAGGTAGGAGATGACGCAGACGGCAGCAATGAAGAGCTCTCTGCGGTTGCGGAGGAGTCTGGGATACTCGTCCACCAGGGCGGTGATGAAGCCCTCCACGGTGCAAAACTGCAGAGGGAACAGAGGTCAGCTACCTGCAGCAGTCCCAAGCCCCAAACACTCAAAGTTTGTCCCTGGAGGAGAAGACAAGAGGCCCAACAGCACAGAGACAGCAGGGCCAGGATAACCCCAGGATCCTGCCTGATTTTGCCTCTGGCTCACTTTGCAAACTCAGAGAGCACAGTCCCTCTGGGCATCAGTTTCCCATTCGGGAAATGGGAGAGTGGCCGAGTGGTTTCCTAAAGTATCATACAGTGGAACATTCTAGGGGTCTGGAATTCTTGGTCATCTTCTTGAGGGGCTGAAGGGTGGCCTCCTTTCTCTACTTTTTCCTGGACTAAGGAGGCTGGGGGTGGGAGGGTGCTTGAAGGGGGAGCCCTCACCTGGCTGTCGATGCCCAACATCAGTAGCATGGAGAAGAAGAGGATGGCCCAGAGGGGAGAAATGGGCAGCTGGGTCACTGCTTCCGGGTATGCCAGGAATGCCAGCCCAGGGCCTGTGGGGGAAAGAGCAAGCCAGACAAAGGGTATTGAGCACCTATGGTGTACCCACATACCATCCGCTCTCCCAGCTTTATTTCAGTTCATTTTCTCAGTGAGTGTCATCAGCCACTTAGGAAACAGAGTAGGCGATCCAAATTTGTGGTCCATCAAGATTGGTAAGAAGCCGTCACCATCATCCCAATGAGGGATTGCAATGATCTGGCCAGTAGTCGGGATAATGTAGGTTCAGAGAGGTGCAGATGGAGAGATAGGAGCAGAGGACAGTGTAGGAGTGGTACTGGTATGGGCTAGCTTGTGGGGTGAAGATCAGGGGTGATGCTGAGTTTCTGGCCTGGGCACTGGATGGGGGACCCCTCTGGGATGGGGAACACAGGGGTGGAGAAGGCTGGGGAGGTCTGGTAGGGACATATTGTATTTGAGTATAATAGTTCAGGGGGAAATCTTGGAATGAGCAGGTAAAAGACTAATCTCTCTGTGTCTGGCTCTGAGAGTGGGGCGGAAATGGTGGTGAACGGAGAGTTCCAGAGTCATAAGATGGGAGCTGCCCTTGTAGGGGAGATTAGAACCCCAGCTGGGAACTGTTCCCTCCCACATGACCAACCTAGTTCTCTAAAGGACAAGTTATGTGTGTCACCTCTCTGAGTCTCAAGGGCCTCTGCAGTGCACACAGTGAGTCAGTCCCTCCTGAGGACTGCTTGCACAGGGAATCAGGTGGCGACTTTCCTCTGGCCCTTGTCATTGACAATGGTGTGGAGAGCAGGGTGGGTACAGCCCACGTGGTGAGAATATTTTTGAAGCCAGGACAAAGGCATGAATTTGGGGGATTCTGTATCATGGAAGGAATCACGTTCCAGGTGGACACAAATGTATATTCCTGATGACCGCACATGCCAGGGGGGTTAGCTTTCTCCTTCCCCAGCAACCGGGGCCCTCCACGGGGTGTCGCTGACCTGAGGCCGCCACATCAGCAATGGACCTCTTGGTGACATGAGCCATGAAGCCCACGATGGAGAAGATGACAAATCCGGCGAACATGCTGGTGCACGAATTGATGCAGCACACGATGATGGAGTCCCTGGAGAGAGGGAGGGGCGGGGTCAGGGAGGGCGGGGCTGTCAAGAAGGCGGAGCTAGTGGGCAGCCATTATTCAGGAGCGTGGCTGGGAGGAGGGTACCTGGGAGGGTGTCTACAGGTTAGGGTGAGCCCCAGAATCTTAGGTCCCAGAGCAAGCCAGGGTAGGGCGCAGCCAGAAGGGTCAGGGAAAGGTAGAAGCTGGAACAGGTGACCATGAGGGAGTGTATCAGAAAATAACTGAGAGGGCATGAAGTCAGAGAGGGACCTAACAGGGGACCACCAGGGGGCGTGGCCACAGGCGGGCGTGGCCACATGTGGGCGTGGTCACGGGTGGGCGTGGTGATAAAGGGGTGTGGCCGGGAAGGAAGGGGTTTGCACCTGTAGACGTTGTTGTGGAAAGAATTGTAGCTTCCAAGGGCGATCAGGGATCCCAGGCCCAGCCCGTAGGAGAAGAAGATCTGGGTAGCTGCATCCAGCCACACCTATGGGCAGAACGATCAAAAATGATCCACTGTATTACAGCCACAGCCCCCTGGGGTCTTTTTATTTTTTTAAGTTTTTTATGGACTTTTTTTTTTTTTGTATGTGTGGTGCTGAGAATCGGACCCAGTGCCTCACACATGCCAGGCAAGCGCTCTGCCACTGAGCCACCACCCCAGCCCCTTGGGGACTTTTTCAAAGTGCTCACCAACCAGCGCTATCTAACAACGACCCCAGTTTGCATGCGTGCATCAGAGAGGGACAGTAACTTACAAGTGGAGGTTCAGGACTCGAGTTTACTCTTAACCTGGGCTGTGCCTTCCAGGGTACCCCCGTAGGGAGTGAAGCTCACCTCGGAGTCCGACAGCTTGCGGAAGTTGGGGGTGATGTAGAAAAGGATGCCCTCCTTGGCCCCGGGCAGCGTCACTCCACGGAAAAACAGAATGATAAGCATGATGTAGGGGTACGTGGCGGAGAAGTAGACCACCTGCGAGGAGAGGGAGTGGCCGGTCGCACTTGCTCCAATGCTCCAGCGCTTTGCCTCACTTTGTCTACATGGGGACCTATCCTAGCTCTGGGCTTTGGATCCAGTTCTTCTTCCAGGAAGCCCTCCTGGATTCCTAACCTGCTCTGCTTGGCCACTTTTCTGAAGCCCTTCCTCACCTTCTGAACCAATCAGCTCAGTACCTAGTTTTCCCCTTCTTCTTAGGAACATTTGCAGGGAAGAAGTGCTGGGGAAGGTACCAGGGATTGAATTCAGGGGCACTCGACCACTGAGCCACCTGCCAGCCCTATTTTGTATTTTATTTAGAGACAGGGTCTCCCTGAGTTGCTTGGTGCCTCGCCCTTACGGAGGCTGACTTTGAACTCGTGATCCTCCTGCCTCAGCCTCCTGAACCGCTGGGGATTACAGGCAGGGGCCACCATGCCCAGCTGTTGGGAACATTTTTAAATCACTCACACACACACACACACACACACACACACACACTGCCTTCAACAGCTCCAAGAATAAAAGTTACATGAGAGACAGGACTTATATTTTCACCTCTCTGCTCTTCAAATACTTAGGAAAGTCCATGGTATACAGTAGACACTCTATAAGTGTCTGACAATTATGTAGCAGCATGGATGTTAACATTCTAGTGTTCCTCCTGTGAGACTCCTCTAGGCATGTCTGTTTACATTTTCTTTTTAATTCTTTTTTAGTTGTAGATGGACACAATACCTTTATTTTATTTGTTTTATTTTTATTTTATGTGGTGCCCAGCATTGAACCCAGTGCCTCAGGCATGCTAGGCAAACGCTCTACCACTGAGCCACAAATCCTGCCCCTGTTTACATTTTCTTACAAAACGAGACTCAAATTTTGCAGTAGTCTATTTGCTTAACAGGCTTAAGGTTGAAAACCACAGTACATACGGTTTTGTTTACTAAATAGATTTTCACTCTTTCATGAACAATATGATTGTTCATTATAGAAAGTAGTCCCTGGGGAAATCTATCTATTTTTAAGTCCTCCTCCCACCCCTGATGTTACCATTTAGGCTATTTCCAATTTTATGTGAATCTAAATACCACATGGAACATCTCTGTATATGAATCTTGATTTACAAAATTATTACACCACTCTTGGGAAATATTTCTAGCAGTGAGATCACTGATGAAAAGGAATATGCTTCTCTAAGTCTCTTGATCCCTCTTGCCCGACTGGTTCTGGAAATGGAATTCTATTCAGCATTACCGAGGCTTCCTGGCAGTGCCTGCCCTAAGTAGAGCAATATTAAAAATTATTATTTTGTCAGTTTGGTCATCAAAAGGCTGATGCTGTGTGAAATTGCATTTCTTAGCTCACTAGTATAGAAGAGCAATTTTCAAGTTCAATGACCTTTGGATCTCAGAGTCTCCCCTATTTCCATGCCAGCATGCTTTTTTTTTTTTTTTTTTTAACTACTTTCATCTCCCTGATTTGACTCTAGGATCCTTCAGGATTAGGAAAGGCAATCTTGACCCTCTAGAAAAACCACTGCACTTTGAGTTAGGCAAAGGGGAATTCAGAATCATCTGTATTACCTACAGGCTGTGGGACTTTGGGTCAATGTCTTATCCTCTCTGAGCCTCACTTTGTCTTCTTTGGAAAATGGGTATAATCACGCTTGCTACTCAGAAATTTTGATTGTATGAGGACATACAACCTGCTTAAAATACGTTGGCTCGACCTAGTACTTCCCTGTGTCTTCTATGTTCAACATGCAGCCAGGCACACAGTAAGCATTTAATAAATGCATATTGATGACACCTCCAAAAGATGCAGCTAGGAGGCCCTACTCTCTATCCCCCAAAAGTACAGTCTTCTAATGTACAGGAAAACAGGAATACATTTGGGCAAGCAGTCTACCACTGAGCCATATCCTCAGCGCTACTGCAGAATCCTTGATACCACCTCCAAATGATTATAGTTAATACTATGTGTCAAATGAACATTCTGCACAAATTAGCCCCCTTTGTAACAACCTTGTAAGATACTGTTATTGGGACCATTTTAATAGGGGAGGAGACAGAGGTTCAGAGAGGTCAAATAACTTGCCCAAGAGCACAGAGCTAAAAGCAGGGGAATTGAGATTCAAACTCTCTTCCAAAGCCTTCAAACTCTACTCTATTTTGCTTCTTAAAGTGATACTGGGGGGCTGGGGTTGTGGTTCAATGGTAGAACACTTGCCTAGCACTGGTGAGGCCCTGGGTTCGATCCTCAGCACCACATAAATAACAACAACAACAAATAAAATAAAGGTTAAATTCTTGATAAACAAAAATTCTTATAAAACAAAATGAATGACAATCTCCTTTGTTGGAGATTTTGCTCTGCAGAATCACCGGCTCCTTTGATTCTCGAAACAAACCAATCGATGGGCATCGTTATTAGCTCAATTTTACAGAACAGGAAATTGAGTTTCAGAGAGGTAACGTGTTTTGCCTGAGGTCACAGGGCCCACAGGATAACCAAGTCAGAATCCAAACTCACAACTAGAATACAGAGCCTTAGTCGTTAACTATTCATCTATCCATCCCTGAGTCAGAATGTGAACTTCTTATCTCTGAGGCTCCAGCACCGAGCACAAGGCTTGGCACAAAGTAGATGCTCAGGAAAAGTGTGTTCAGTAGTCCTTGAGCAACATTTCTCTCCTGTTTTGTGATGGCCACCAGTCCCACTGGAATCTCATGGGACTCAGGGTGAGGCTGACGCTGTACTAGGGCCTGACTTGCATCTCTGCTTTCAATGCTCACAATTGATCTAGAAGGTAGGGGATCTTATAGTTCTCATTCCACAGAGGAGACTGAGCCCCAGAGAGCGATCCTCTCCAGTCCCGTCCCTCCATCCCCTCTTTGCACCCACATCCCCTACCTTTCCGGTCCAGCCGACACCCTTCCAAATACAAAAATACACAAGAACCCAGGCAATGGCCAGGGTGATGGCTAGCGGCCAGCGGATCTGACCTGGCTTATCCAGCCCGTCTGTCATCTGGTGCATGTTGCGCCTGGTGGAACAGAAGAGAGAAGTCATGTGGGTCAGAGGGAGCTGGAGGGACCCTGGAGTGCCCAGGGCATGAGCACAGACAATATCCTCTCAGGGGAAAGTGCATAACTGCTGATCCCTGCAATTTGGATGGAGACAATGAAGATTGTTACAGAAATCACTAGAAAAGCGCTGTTTGGTGAAGAGGTCAAAGAGAGCAGGACCTGCCGGGGCCTTAGTTCAGCAGTCATAATTGCTCACCTGGACCTGGGGCCACAGTGGCCTCCTGGGGGACCCAACCTTTGCTTTCACTCTGCCACTACTGTGGCCCCAGGGATCCTTCTAAACTGCAAGTGTTACTTTCCTGCTTAAAATCCTGCAAAGAAGAGCTCCCTTTTGTTTCCCAGAATAAAGTACTCACTCCCTGGAGGCCACCCAAGGTCTTGTGAGCCGACCCCTGCTTCCCCCTCTGGTCTCAACACTTACCAACAGCTCCCTCCAACCCCCATCAGGCTGAATCCCCATCTGTACTCAGCCTCCTCTCTGCACCTCCTGGCCCACTCTGTTCTCTGCCTGCACCTGCCTCACCAGCACCGAGATGGGTCCAGCTGCTTTTCTGTGTGTCCCCCCCATGGCCCCATCACCTGACACTGCTGTTGCCTGTTTGCGTACCTGGGTCTACGATCACATTGGCACATAGTAGGTACTCAAGAAATGTTTAAGGAATAAAAGGTAGAATTGAAATCGGGGGACAAAAGGATAATCAGTGTACATTTATAAATGATTGGGTCAGACAGGGGAGATGGGGGCTGGTTGGAAAAGAAAAGAAATCAAATGCTAATACCTCCAGAGCCCTTCCCCCTCCTCCTCCACCTGTTGCCAAGGTTACCTGCCTACTGTTCCTCCCAAGAAGTCGTTAATGAGTTAATGCAGTACCTCCTGTGTGGCTCCTTTCCTGCCTGTTTGGGCAGACATGGAAAGGTAGCCCTAAAAGGCTTCCTTCCCCACCTTTTGGCCCACCTGTTGGTCACTAGAGAAAGGACATGAGGACAAAGGAAATCTAAAACCTATAAAAGGGGCAGGACACCCAGCCCTGGGGTCCCTTTACTGCGGAAAAGTCTATCTCTATTCTCTCCTTCAAATAAAACTTGCTTTCCACGCTTGCCTAGGCATTTCTTGGGGTGCTCAGTCTCCAACATCTGGGGAACTGGGACTCGGCCCTGATGGATTCTCATCACCAGCATTGGAATGAAGCCCACAAACGTGTCTGAGAGACCGCCACGTGGGAGATGCTGGTGAGCAGGACCAGGCAGAGCAGAACTGGGTTTTTATTCATAAGGAAAGTGATTCTCAAGGACATCACACGGCAAAGAGACTAGGCATTGGTCTGGGGCGGTGGCTCAGTGGCAGAGCGCTCGCCTAGCATGTGCGAGGCCCTGGGTTCGATCCTCAGCACCACGTAAAAATAAAATAAAGGTATTGTGTCCAACTACAACTAAAAAATAAAATATTTTTTTAAAAAAAGAGACTAGGCATTGCTTGTTCTGACCACACCTGCTGGGAATAGCTTATCCCCGACGTTCCAGAACCTTCTGGGTTGCTCCCAGATCCTTCAAAGGTGCCCATCACAGGGGCTTCTTTTACGCCAAAAAGATGAACCCACGGCTGGGGTGGTGGCTCAGTGGTAGAGCACTTGCCTAGCATGTGTGAGGCCCTGGGTTCGATCCTCAGCACCACATAAAAATAAAATAAAATATAAGTATTGTGTTCATCTACAACTAAAAAATATATACATAAAAAAAGAGATGAACCCAGGGGTTGCCAACCTCTCCAGGTGACCCTTTGGGCTAGGTGGGTCATTCCCTTCCATTTAGCCCTCTGCATCCACACTCTCTGATCTTCTCTGCCCTGCACTGTGCCCCAAGAGGCTGACTGCTACACTGTGCGGGGGGGGGGGGGGGGGCCCCTGTTGCCCCAAAGTTTCTTATGGGGGTGAAGGGGGGGGGGCCCGGGAGGGGGGGGGGGGGGGGGACAGGAGGAGAGAGAGACCAGGGGAGTTACCCTCCCTACTGGACTGTGGCTTTGTCCAATAAGGGGTTTTCTGCTGGAGGCCATTGGTCATGTGAAGTGGCCCCTTCACAGTCTGGTGCCCTCTAGAGGAAGAAATAGCTTGAGCTCCCTGTGCCCTGTCCACACCTATGGAAATACCCCTGTCACCTGGTTCCTGCATAACTCTATTTTTTTTGTGGGGCTGGGGTCCCAAGGATTGAACCCAGGGGCGCTTAACCACTGAGCCCCATCCCCAGCCCTTTTTTGTATTTTATTTAGAGACAGGGTCTCGCTGAGTTGCTTAGAGCCTCACTTTTGCTGAGGCTGGCTTTGAACTTGCGATCTTCCTGCCTCAGCCTCCCGAGGTACTGAGATGACAGGCGTGCACCACCGCATCCGGCTTGCATTACTCTTCGGAGGGTGCCTCTGCTGCAAGGCCCTGCCAACCTGCCCTCCCTGTCCCCCATGGATGGTCCCACACTCACTCCCAGAACTCCACCACGGCGCTGGTCATGTTGGTGGTGTTGACCATGCTGTAGTTAGAGAAACAGCGGTCCGTGTTCCAGGGGTTGTCACACTGTTTCCAGGGCAATGTCTGCAAGGACAGAGTCATGAGGACAAATCTCGATAAGCCCCCGAGGGCTAGCAAAAGGGTCCTGCTCACCCTATCCACCCTCAACTGTCCCCTGAGCCTCCTCAGAGCCATCATCCCACCTCTCCTTCTCAGCAGCTCTGGGAGGCAGGTTAGCCCTGTGATTCCCATTTGTTAGATCAGAGAGGGGCAGCAATTTGCTTGAGATCACACAGCTACTAAGTGTCAGAGCCCAAATCTCAACCTCACTCTGCTTACTCTGAGAACCAGCCTTCAGAGCTATACTGTCAAGTTGCTGTGTCCACCCTGAAGTCACTTCCCAGCTATGTGACCTTGGGCAGAAGACCTCTCTATTTGATTCTCTGCATGGTGACAATGAGAACACAGCACTTGCTCTCTGCTAGGCCTGGCTCTAGGCACTTGGCAAGTATTTGCTTCTTAACCTTCACAACAACCTAATGCTGTGGGTTCAGTTTGGGTTTTTTTTTCCCAACTTCTGTGGTAAAATACATGTCACAGAATATTATATTCCATGTTGATGATTTCTTTCTTTTTCGTTTTTAGTACTGGGGATTGAACCCAGAGATGCTTAACCACTGAGCCTCATCCCCAGCCCTTTTTATATTTTATTTAGAGACAGGGTCTCGCCGAGTTGCTTAGGGCCTTGCTGGATTGCTGAGGCTGGCCTCCAACTAGTGATTCTTCTGCCTCAGCCTCCCCAGCCGCTGGGGTGACAGGTGTGCTCCACTGCACTTGGCCCATCATGATCATTTTAAGTGCAGTGACATTAAATACATCCAAAATATTGTGCTACCGTCACCACCACCCATCTCCAGAATTCTTTTCATCTTGTAAAACTGAAACTGTCCCCATTGTACAGTGAAGTCCCCATTCCCTTCCCCAGTTCCTGGCAGCATCCATCCTACTTTTCAAATCTACGTGTGTGATGACACTACGGACCTCAGATAAGGGGAATCAGACAGCATTTGTCCCTTGGTGATGGCTTCTTTCACTTAATATACCATCCTGAAGGCTCATCTTGGAGCAGGCGTCAGAATTCCCTTAATATTTAAAAAAGGCTGCCTGCTATTCCCACTGAACAGAAGGGCTACATTTTGTTCCCTTGTTCGTCACTGATGGACAGGTGGGTTGCTCCCTCCTGCTGGCTGCTGGGATAACGCTGCTGAGAACTGGGGTGTAGAGACACTTCTCTGGGTCTCTTTTGTGACTCTGTTACCAATTCTTTGGGGGTGTGTCTGGCGGATTCGATGTTGGCCCCCATGAAGCGCCTGGCCGGAGAAGGTGCTCAGTGCCCAGTGCTTCACCACTGCAGGGAGGACGTGGGCTGCAGAAGCCAAATCACTCCCTTGACCCCTTGAGGAATGGCTCTGCCTGCAGAATGGTGGGTGGTCCCAGTGGACAGAGGATGCGCTTGGGGTCTGGTCCCCTGCGGGAGGCGGAGGCGAAAGGGACCACTCACCGTGGTGAAGGAGTTGTACAGGTAGTAGATGGCCCAGGAGATGATGACGATGTAGTAGATGTTCAGCCAGAAGGACAGTACGGCGGCAGCAAGTCCCACACCTGGGGACAGAAGACATGGTCACCACCTCCACTGCGTACAGTCCTGACAGCCGCTGCCCGGCCTGTTCCACAGCACGGGGGACATCATTGACCTTGGAGTTGGGCCTTATGGGGGACACTGAGGCTAGAAGACAGGCAGTGACTGGCGGGAGGTCACATGTACCCGTGCCAGGGCCCGGTCCAGGCTGGCGGCAGGTGGGATCCAAGGCATGGTAAGCACATGTTCCATAAGTGATATCAGGTGTCACTAGGCCCCTTGCCATGGACACCACTCTGCTCAGATGTGCCCAGAGCAGCTCCCTCTTGGCAGAGGGGCTGGGGGTGTTGGCAGCCCCGGGTTTCCCATAGGCTGCAGGCAGGGGCAAAGCCACGTCCCCAGCGCCCTGCTCCGCACACTCACCCTTGAACATGGGGGCCAGCTTCCACACGCCCAGGCCCCCGATGGATGTGTACTGGCCCAGGGAGCACTCCAACAGGAAGAGGGGGACCCCCGCGAAGATAAGCGTCAGGAAGTAGGGAATGAGAAAGGCCCCTGCGGAATGGAGAAGACGCACGCTCATGGCCCTGAGGCTTTGGGGAACCCGTCTCAGAGGGAGCATGAGGTCATGGACCAGGGAGCATGAGGTCATGCTGCCTCCAAAGCAGCATCCAAAGCCACCCGGAAGCTAAGGGGTGTCCTTTGCTCAAAATATATCCCTGTTCTTTTCAAAATTAAAAGATGAGGGGGGCTGGGGTGGTGGCTCCGTGGTAGAGCCCTTGCCTAGCACCTGTGAGGCACTGGGCTCAACGCTCAGCACCACATAAAAAAATAAATAAACAAGATAAAGTTATTGTGTCCATCTACAGCTAAAATTAAAAAAAAAAATGAGAGAGAGAGAGATGAGGGCAAGGCAGGGTAGGCACATGTCTGTGATCCCAGCAGCTCAGGAGGCTGAGGCAGGAGGATCCCAAGTTGGAGGCCAGCCTCAGCAACTTAGCGAGGCCCTGTTGCAAAATTTTAAAAATAATAAATTAATTAAAAGGGATTGGAATGTAGCTTAGTAGTAAAGGACACCTGGGTTCGATTCCTAGTACCAAAAAGAAAAAAAAAAAGATGGACTTTAGATGTCATGAAGCAAGAAATAGGATTCTTCAGGATTTGGATTCTTCAGGGAGCCTTTCCCGCTAAGAATAACCCAGAAAATGCCTAAGCGGGACCCTGTCTTGTGGGTCCCGTCCCAGCTGGGAGATCCCCAGGCCTCCACCTACCGCCACCATTTTTCCCGCAGAGATAGGGGAACCTCCAGACATTGCCCAGGCCGATGGCATAGCCCACGCAGGACATGAGGAAGTCGAAGCGGCCCTTCCACGTGTCCCGGTCGGGAAGGTCCCCAGCCTTCTTCTGCACCTTCACCACCAGGGTCTTGGGCTTGTCGTTGGCCATGGGGGCCTCGCTGACTTCCGTGGAGATCTGCCCATCGGCCAGCTTGCTGCCATTAGTGGCCATGTCTCTGAATCTGGACACGGGGGTCCTGGCGGATGGACGTGCGATGTCGGCTCCGGTCCACGTGGACAACAGCTTTGCGGCTGAAGGTTACTCTGGGGGGGGTGGTTTCAAGCAAAGAAAAGTGACAAGATTCAGTGATAAGATCCTCATCTTGGCCTCCAAAGATGCCATTAGGGGATTTGTTCTGCCACAAGGTCACGGTGTTCAGGGCAAGCAGAGGAGGAGCTCCCGCTGGGGCTGCATGCAGAGGTGTCCTGGCTGCAGGTGGTGGGGGAGTGGTGGGGTCTGGAGGTGCTGAGACCTGTGCACAATCCACTTTACTGCTTCTGAGCTGTGTGACTTTGAGTAAACTTGTCAACCTCTCTGTGCCCCACTCTCCCTAGCTTTCAAAATAAGGATAACAATAATACATCCTCTGCTGGGTTGTGGAGAAGCCCTGATCTGTACTTTCAAGAAAGTCTGCAAGAAAAGATTTCTACACAGGAGGCCCAGTCTCTGTCTCTCAACTGAGAAAGGACCACTAGCTTCGATGAGATTTTTTAGCCCCTGGTCATCCCCACAGTGTTCTACCCACACTCTGCACCCTTCCCATTTCTTTAAATTCAAAGGGACCATGGGGTAGAGGACAGGAGTACAAAACCAGACTCAGACCAGTCCTGAGTTCCAATCTCCTGTCTGCCTGACCCCGCTGGAGTACTGTGACTTAGTACTTTTACTCGATACTCCCATTGCATGCTTTTCTTGATGGCTCTGATCCTCAGTTTCCCCACCTAGAAAACGGGGTCAAATCTCTCTGGCTAGCAAAGTTGTGGTGAAAAAAAATGAGCTTTTCTGGCTGCGAGGGTGTCATTCCCCTGCCTGGCTGGGTGGGTGGACTTTACCTGGTGGTTTTTTATGGTGGGTCAGATCCAAATGGCTCCCTCTGCTGGAGAAAACCTGCAAAGCAAAGAAGATGGGGGAGAGGAGAGAGGGTGAAGGCACAGGCAGGGCTGAGGGTAGCTTCAGGCAGAGGGTAGCCAGGGGACAGGATGCTGCCAGGAGATCTGGGCTGTGCATGTGTCTGCGGAGCGTCCCCAGCCAGGGGACTGCAGCATGGAACTGGCCCACAGTGTGCTGGGAACATGCAGGACATAGGACAGCCGTGGAGGTGGGCGCGAGGGCGTGTGAGGAAGATGTTCCATAATTTTATCAGAAGGAAAAGGAGAAACCAACAAGGAGGCTGCAGGTCCTCAGGCCCCACTAGGAGACAATGAATGTAGCTGGTATTTATATTTCTTTTTTAATATATAAAAAGTTTAATCTAACTTTTTTTTTTTTTTTTTTTTGTACCAGGGATTGAACCCAGGGACACTCAACCACTGAGCCACATCCCCAGCCCTGTTTATTCTTTATTTTGAGACAGGGTCTCACTAGATTGCTCCTATGTTGCTGAGGCTGGCCTCAAACCTGTAATCCTCCTGCCTCAGCCTCCCCAGCCGCTGGGATTACAGGCATGTGCCATGGCGCCCAGCTTAAAGTTTAACCTAGCTGATATTTTTCTCTATCCTCCATCCAGAATTTGCAGAAATGTTATACAAGAGCATGTAAGAACATGGGGGACAGTGTTGTGGAATGAGATAAGCAGATTTTGAAAACTTATTTTCTTAAATATCCTGTTTTTGCCCTCCCCTACCCTCGCACAAGATCTGTTCATTAAAACAAACAAAAACAAACAAAAATAACCATACTGGCAGGATATACCCAAAGATGTCAACAGTGATTCAGTTTTGAGTAATTTTTTTGGTTTTCTTCTTTGAGCTTTTCTAGAATGTTCCAAAGAAGTGGGTTTTGTTGTTGTCATTGTTGGGTTTTAGTACCAGGGATTGAAGTCATGGGCACTTGCCCAGAGAGCCACCTCCCCAGCCCTATTTTGTATTTTATTTAGAGACAGGGTCTCACTGAGTTGCTTAGCACCTTACTTTTACCAAGGCTGGCTTTGAACTTGAGATCCTCCCGCCTCAGCCTCTCAAGCTGCTGGGATTACAGGCATGTGCCGCCACCACACCCGGCAACCATCTAATTTAATTAATAAAATGGCAAAATAAACTTATGGAACCCTCGGAACCGATTGCAACACGTGGAGGAAGCACTGCCCTGTGGATTCTCAGATGTAGTTGAGCCAAAGCAATGTGTGCTGCGGGCCCTTGGCCTTGTGTCCTGACCCAGATGGCCTCCTCCCCTTGGCTCTGCCCCAAAGGGGACCCCCAGTTTTCTGTGCACTCACCCTCCAGCCCCTCACATGCAGTACCCATTACCAAACACCATCGTCTCCTCCTAGGGTTCACGGAGACCCAGAGCACCTTCGGCCAATCCATACTGTGCTGCCACCCCTGCTTCTCGTCCTCAGGGATCGCCCGCTCAGTCTGAGATCCTCCACGGCCCACAGGCTTGTCTTGGACACCCATCTAGATCCTAGCATGGGCATGGCCACATCAGAGAGAGTCCTGGGCTTGGCCAGGGGCCCCTCTCCCATACTCAAGAATAGAGGGAGTAGGAGGCAGCTGATCCTGAAGTCCACCAAGGAGCCTTGGGATATGCAGGCGACAGTGGCCTCAGGAAATGGCGGAAAGGCAAAAGTGGAACCCTTCTGGGAGACGAGGTCATCCATGAATTGTCATGACCACAATGCCTTTAATTGTTCCAACCATCTCATCTTGTGGATTCCTGCGGCCATATTTGTTCCAACTGATCCAATCACCTCAGTCTGGGACTGATCACCTGACCGAGGCTAACCAATCAAATCCTTTCCCTGGGATTTTGGCATGTGATTAAGGAAGGGGCAGGCTCATGAGTGACTCTGGAACTCTGAGGCAGCCATCTTTTGCCTATCAGAGTAGCAGAGACTCAGAGTGTTCGTCGGCTGAGGAGGAAGAAAACAGATCAAAATGGAGGGAGAGAGTCTTGAAGGCATTCTGGTGTGCAGTTCCAGACTTCCTTATGCTTTTGGATTTTGCAAAACATGGGTCAAAAATGTCCCTTAAAATTCATATACTAGAAAGCTAATCCCCAGTGCAAAGTGCTGAGAGGTAGGACATTCAAGAGGTGATTAGGTCATGGGGTAGATTAAATGGATTTTATTATTGTCATTCTTGTTTATGAGAGTGGGTTTGTTACAAAAAGCAATTTTAACCTTCTCTTGCTCTCGCTGTCCTGCCATGAGATGAAATAGTACAAAGGTCCCCATCAGACGCTGGTTCCTCCATCTTGGACTTCCCACCCTCCAGAGTCAGGAGCCAACACATTTCTGTTCATAATAAATGACCCAGTCTGGGGTATTTTGTGATAGCAACATAAAGTGGACTAAGCCAACACCCCTGGCCATACATGCTTGCTGACACTGGATTTCAGATCCCTGGTACCATCTTGAATCTCTGCCTGGCCCCTCTGGCAAGTCCCAGTCATGAGTTCTTCTCAACACCCCCTCGTGCCAAGCCCTGAGGGATCAGAGATGGGGACTGTTCTGAAGAGCTCCTGGTGAGGGGGACACACCTGGTGTGATTTCCAGAATAGGGGGACATGTATTTGGATTCAGCCAAATTCCTATTACCCACTAGAAAGAGCTACCCACCCATGCATGGTTTCTCCCTTTGAGAAAATGCAGCATTAATGAAGATAGAGGACTTGAAACCCTGAACGAACACAATCAATGCTTCTGTGACGATTCGGGATTGAGAAGGCTCTTCCCCTTATCCAGCAGCAGGATCACCTCGGTGCTGAGCCAGGGACTGAGCCTGGCTCTCTCCAGCACCTAGGAATGCTGGATGAGTTACCCTGCTTTGCTGATCCTCCTCTGTAAAATGGGAGAATTATAATAACCACGTCTCCCTCCCAGGGATGCGATGACTAAGTGACTTCATGCATGGGACGCGTGTTAAGTAATGCCTGTCACCCAGTTAGGTCCTAGGAAATCTCAGCCATTTCTGTCACTGTGATTGTTACCATTGATGTATGGGCTGGTGGTTTTCAACCCAACATGCCTTGATTCCCAGAAGGCCATCAGCAATTATGATAATAACAGCAGCTAACACTCACCGAGGGCTTCCTACTCAGGTCTCTCAACATTTTTCAAAACCCCAGTGGGAATCATTCTTTGAGTCCTCCATAGGGAACATAAGTGAAGAAAAAAATATCTCATCTCTTTGGGTGTCTTTCTACCAATTCATCCCTCTGGGCCAGCCACAAGCCAGGAGTGGTGCACGTGTGTGTTTGGTTAATAGAACAAAGAAAGATTCTGTTAGAAATAATTTGGTTAAAAAGAAAAGGGTCCATGGGAAGATGGCGGAAAGGCAAAAGTGGAACCCTTCTGGGAGATGAGGTCATCCATGAATTGTCATGACCATAATGCCCTCAGTTCCATCGAGGGGCATCTCAGGAAGTGCCAGGGCGTAGCTATTTGGGAATTTTAATTGCTGATGCCAGTTAATGTGTCACTTCTCTTTCTTATGAAAATCCGCAGGCAGAAAGCAGAGGTGTGTGCAAGTTCAGGTAAAGGCAATGTCTTTCTAGAACATTCCTTGTCTCTGCTTATCTCTGAGGCAGAAGAAACTTTTTTTGGGGGGGGTCCCAGGGATTGAACCCAGAGTGCTTAACCACTGAGCCACACCCCCAGCCCTTTTTAATTTTAATTTTTTATTTTGAAACAGGGTCTCACTGAGTTGCTTAGGGCCTCGCTAAGTTGCTGAGGTTGGCCTCCAACCTGCAATCCTCCTGCCTCAGCCTCCTGAGCTGCTGGGATGACAGGTGAGCACCTCCGATGTGCCCAGCCAGAAAAAAAAAAACTCTTTGCAAGTTGTTACTTCCCCTTTCCCAAGACACAGATCTGTGCCTGGAGGCTCTTGGGGACAGTGTTGCAGAACAGCTCTAGGAGCCATATGTGTCTGTGATGTCCTCACCAGGGCCAGGTTGTGACCCTTCTTGACTTGCAGGTAAAGGAGGGGGAAGAACACTTCCTGCCTCCTGATGATTGATCTGTTTCCAGAGTCTTCTATTCTTGCTCATCTGAAGATGGAGAATCTGCCTACACATTCCTCTAGGTGCTTGACACACCACCCTGGACTGAATTCCACCAAAGCCACATTCAA